GTAGCCATAGGCAATATAGTCTAGTACCTTGGAAAATCAGACCAAGAAGTTCAAAAGCTGCTTTGGACAAAGAGTTTGGCATTGCCGATTAGTCCTAGTGGAGGTTATTTTCTTCTTTAGATGGATTTGTTGATAGTACATCACAGAAAGTTATTACGTGTCTGCTTTCACTAGGCATGACTCTCTTTTTCCTAAGTGCTTAAATTCACTAAACAAGGAAAAACAGGCACTATAGAAACAGAGTCATTAATAATATAAATCTCACCTAGAGTCAAAGAGTAATATGGCCTGTCTCATTGTTCTGCATAAATAGTGATTTCCATGGCTTTCCATTTGTCCTCTCTATAGATTTTTCTCCTTTGGTGCATCTCATTGCTCATTTTCCTCTACTTCTTCAGAAGACTTAATGTCAACAACTTGGAGGAAATCAGCTAATAATACCTCTATTTCTCCTCTGGCCTTGCTAGCTACCACTATCCCCCTGCCATGGACTTTTTATCCCTGCCAGTAAGACCTGAGCTCTTAAACTTTTTGTTTCTGCAAGTGGGTCATTAAATTTGCCTTCTAGTTTCAGTATATGGCTTGAGGTTCATTAATATGCATGGTATCCAACAGGTTATTTATGCCAGGGCTTACTTTGAAATTGCCTGGTTGGAATCTGTGTGTTTGTGTGTGTGTGTGTGTGTGTGCGCGCGCGCGTGCGTGTGTGTGTGTGTGTTTTCCCCCAAGACTATCTTCTGGCAATTTTCTATTCACTTTGTTCTTAACTGATGGATGGTATGTGGCTCTTGAAGTCAATAGCAGTTTTAGTATCATCTCAGGAACAATCTCCCTTAGCCTCCTCACACTGTATGAGGTTATCCTCCTCCATACTCTCCACATAATACAGAAAAAGCCTTCCAAATTTCTCTTTGGTCTGCAAAACACTATTTGAAGTAAATGGGCAGTCTATAGAATTGGGAAAATTTGGAACTGGAAGGTTCATGAGAGAGAGAAAGTCAGAGTGAGTTGGGGTGGGAGCTCAAGCAATATAAAAGAAAAGAGAAATGAGTGAATCAGGCAAAACCATGGTGAGGCAAACACCCAACCCTACTCCATCCCAAATTCTTCACTGCATTTAAAGTGTTTATGTTAAGTCCTTTGCAAGTTTACGCTTTTTTTTAAGCTTTCAAAATCATCATAAGACTGCAGGTAGGTTGACCTCCTTGGTGGACACTTGATCCTTCCTACCCATGACCTATACAGAGAAGACCATCTCTTCCGGCTCCTGCCCCCTATCCTGAAGCCCAGCCTCCAACACTGAACTCAGAACTCACTCACACACGGTGAATATTCAGCTAAATCCATTTCTTCTACATAACTACTCATGTATATAAATAAAAAATAATATTGACTCTGGGCTTTTTGTATTTTGGAGTACTAGACTGTGAGTTTCTTGAAGAAACTACCAGCTCTTTTTTTTCCCCTGTCCCTACCTCATGGTAGCTAGGATCCTTTAGCCATTTAAAGAATACCTGGTAGCTTAAATTGACTTTTGCAAAAAAGCAGGTATATTTCAGGGAAAGGACAATAAAAGAGAGAGGGAGAGAAAGAGAGATGGTGAAACATGATTAATGGCCTAATGTTCTCTACCAGATGGAAGTGTTTTTAGCTGTTGAAGCTCAAGCAACCCAAGGCCAAGAGTGTTGGAGTTATCCTAAGGAATGTAAGCTCCTAAAGAAAACTTACTCATCCTACAAATTGCTGGCCTAGTAAAATAGATTTCAAGGTATGAGTATTCGTTTTTTCCAGAAAGTGTAAAAGTAGAAACAAAGAGTAATGATCCTATAAAGATTTTGATGCCCTAATCCCCATAACCTGTGAATATGTTACCTTTGCAGATGTTGATGATGGCCACATATAGAGAGATGGGAAGATTATCATAAATTATCCGGGTAGGCCCAATCTAATCACAGAAGCCCTTAGAAGCACAGGACCTTTCTCAGTCTTGGTCAGTGAGAGAGAGAGATGTGACGACAGAAACAAGATCGAAGAGATGCAGCGTTGCTGGCTTTAAAGAGGAATGAAGAAAGCCATGAGCCAAAGAATGAAGACCGCCTCAAGAAGGTGGAAAAAGCAACAAAACGGATCATGCCCCAGAGCCCCCATAAAGGAACACAGCCCTGCCAAACCGGAGAGATTATTCTGACTGAAACTATTCCTCTATTCCCTCTTTCACTCTTCTCCACTTGACTATCTTTTCTCATCTTTAAAGATTCAGTACAAACTTCCTCTTAAAAAATCTGTTTTGTCGATATAAGCTATAATTTTCCAAAAAAGTGGGGAGGACAATGTCATATTCCTTATAAGTGTAATTTGAATGATGGAATTAATTAATCATAATTTGATGGACTATAAAAATAAAGGACAATAAAACAGTATTCATGTCACTGCTTTTAAAAAAGAGATTAACAGGCTAGGCGCAGTGGCTCACGCCTGTAATCCCAGCTCTTTGGGAGGCCGAGGCAGGCCGATCATGAGGTCAGGAGATCGAGACCATCCTGGCTAACACAGTGAAACCCTATCTCCACTAAAAATACAAAAAAAAATATTAGCCAGGCATGGTAGCAGGTGCCTGTAGTCCCAGCTACTCAGGAGGCTGAGGCAGGAGAATGGCATGAACCTGGGGGGCGGAGCTTGCAGTGAGTCGAGATTGCACCACTGCACTCCAGCCTGGGCAACAGAGGGAGACTCTGTCTCAAAAAAATAATAATAATAAAAATAAAACAAAAAAAGGATTAACAGCACTCACGAGGATCCACCTACATTTACATTCATAAACTCCTGCTTTTCTTCTTCTCCTCTATTTGGATGCACATGTTCACATGCACACATGCACACACACACACACGCACACAAGTCAGCTCCACACAGCCTAGCCATCAAGTATCAGTTTATGGTTATTCAAAGTCAGACAAGTGAGCAATATATCTTGCTCCGTGATCAAGGGTATGGACAGAAGGGAGTCAAAGAATGAAACCAGAAAATGTCAAGGCAAGTCTGAAAGGCACAGAAAAGGTTCCAAAACAAGGCATTTAAAACCAGAACCAAGGTTTCAGAACTAAACAACTCACGATATGGTGGTTTTAAAATATATCCACAAATACTTTGCCAATCCTTTTTCCAAATGGTGAAAACTAATTCCACTCCAGTTGAGTGTGGGCTGAAATGAGTCCCTTCTAATGAACAGAATATGGCCAATGTGAACAGCATCTGATCAAGCCACAAAAGATATCACAGCTTTCTCCTTGCTCTCACTCTCTCTCATCACTTGTGGAGGATGCCAGTGGCCATGTCATAAGTAGCCTAAGGAGAGACCCACACAGTGTGGAACTGAGGCCTCCTGCCAATAGCCACATGAGTGAGCCATTTTGGAAGCCAATTCCCAAGCCTTCAGACAATTACAGGCCCAGCCAGCATCTTGACTACAACCTCCTGAGAGTCACTGAGCCAGAACCACTCAGCTAAGCTGCTTTCAAATTTCCAACCATAGAAATTATGATATAACAGATGTTTGCTGTTTTAAGCCACTAAGCTTTGAGATAATTTATTATATCATGATGGATAGCCAATATACATGAGATACAATCCTTATACCAGAAGTTACACATTGGAAGTCAAGATCTAGATTCAGTCTACAAATATATTTTCTTCAGCTCATAATAGTGGGATTTTTTTTAATAAGCCAACATTTAAAAATCATTACATTTCATTTAGAAATCTAGATTGCCAGTCTCTCTAAAAAAATTTAGGAGATTTCTAGCAACACAAAGTCCTGCATCCCACCTCTGGTAACAAGCAGTGAAAGCTGAGCACCTGCTATACAAGAGACACGCTGTCCCTCGTCCACCACAGCCACCACCAGAGACTATTCATCTCCATACTGACCCCAGAGGTCCTTGCCATTTAGATGGCTTCTGCATTGCTATTTAACTTTTAGTTGAGAAATATTTCCCAGTTCCTATATCTTTATCAAAAGTAGGAAACAAAAGATGTACTGAAAGGTCTGTGTGTTTTCAAGAAATCCAGGAGAAACCTTATTTCTGAGCGGAAATGAAGAATATTCCTGCATATCAAATATGCCACTGTTGTGTACCTGTGCTGAATACATACAGTTTAAGAACACATTTTTCATCCCCTGGTGGTTTTGCTCACTAGGCTAACTGACTGGTCCCTGTAGGTAATGGGTTGGCTAAAACTGCTTTTTCTCTTCCTGTACCCTTAGAAATGGAGCTAGGGTAAGGCATATGAGCATGTTAGATCTGGTCCTTCAGCATCTAAAGGTAGCAGCCAACATTAGACCTTTCCTCTCATATTGCTTGTTTTCAGAAGAACTTCAGTTTTAGGAAGATACTATAACATCCATTAAATATTTTTCTGGCTTTGTACTTAGAATAATTGTTGAGCCTGAGTATGTTACTGGTTGTTGACTCAAATTATGTCTGACTACAACCATCTAGAATAATCAGAGATAGTTTTAGGTGCAACCCCTACTTTATCATAAATGCATGCCTTTTACTATTACTAATATTTCTGTGAGGGTCAGCAAACCACAGCACACAGGATAAATCTGGCCCACTACCAGCTTTTATAAATAAAGTTTTATTGGGACACAGTCACACTCATTTATTTACTTTTTTGTTGTCTGTGGCTGCTTTCATACCACAGTGGCTGAGCTGAGTAATTCTGACAGAGACCTTACAACCCACAAACCTAATATGTTTACTATCTAGCCCTTTATCTCTAGCTGACCCCTAACAAGAATGATAAAATACAAATGTTTTGGTGGTCAATAAGCTGAGAACTCATTGTGCTTCAAAAGAATACAACACAGGAAAAGGTAAGTTCACCATGCTTTCTCCAGAAAATTTACCGATCACTCATAGTCAATAACCCTGAAGCTTTCTTTACCTTACAAATGGACATAAATATAACTGGTTTTAAGTTGAAAATGAACTCACCGTGGCTAGTTTCTGAACATCTTCATCTGATGCTCCCAGAGACGCCAGACCTATTTCTTGTGAAAACTGAGCAAACTTAGGATCCGCAAGTAGTGGAACATGTCCCAAGAGTTCATGGCATGTGTCTCTGACAAAGACATCACAAAGACATGTTGTATAAGAAGCTTTAAATTACCACTGGTAGAACACAACTTAAAATCCTAAATAAGACCTTGTCACTATAATTAATTAGTTACTATAGTTCATCAATCCTTGGACTTTTTAATCATTTTAATATGCCTGAAATCCCAGTGCATCTCATAATCAACAGCAATTAAAACATATGATATATAATATTTTAATAACATAAAAGCAACTACCATTTTCAAGTTCTTACTATATGCCAAGTACATGGTAGGTGTTTTGTTGTATGCATTATCTCTTTTATTCTCAAAATAACCTTAGAGAATTGAAGTAACTTGTTAGCACAGGATCCTGTAGATCACGGATAGGAAAACAACAGCCATGGTCCAAATCTGTTCCATTGCCTGTTTTTGTAAAAAAAAAAGTTTTACTTGAATATAGCCATGCCCATTCACTTGTGTATTACCTGTGGCGCTTTTGACCACACTGCAGAGTTGAGTAGTTGTGACTGAGATCATAGAGCCAAAATAATTAATTAGCTGACCCTTTACAGAAAAAAAATTGCTGTTTCTTGCCATAGATAGTGAGGAAGGCAAAATTGGAATCCAATTTGTCATGATTTTTAAACTTTTGCTGTTAACCCTTAAGTTGTACTGCAACTCTGTTACACTTTGCCAGGCAATGGGTAACGGGAGAGGATTCTATTGTCATCATCATCAAAGTAGCTTTTCCAGTAGATGATTTATACCTCTAATATAAGCAACTTTCTCGTGATAACACACTATAAGAATCTCCCAGTTCTCTGCTTTGGTTAGCCTGAACTAGGTAATAATAGAAGCCTGGAACCCCTCTCATTTGTCTGAGCTTTCATTTGGAGCCAGATAAGTGGGCAAAAGACAGGTATCTTTCACAACAATACAAGGCAGATGCCTTCCTGAGTCATTGCCATGAATAATGAACTGTTCCATGATACCAAGCTGTAATGGAATGAATTCCCCTTATGGTTGTCTGGGAATGGATTGAGATGCAGGAACATTTTAAATTACTGACCAAAAAAAACACCAATTACCTAGGTAGTAATTAAAAGATATTTTTGATTTCACTTGTACTCCTCTGAAATCTATCACTTCAAATAGGTGCTAGAATACAAATACCAGGTGCTACCATTATCACAATTATAAAGTATGTTGGATGGTCACACAGTTGAAGCAAATGAATGATGGTCAAGGGCCAAGATTGATGCCCACATAAAATAGATAGCATCACTCAATCACTCAATCAAAAAGTCTTATTCTCACAACCCAAACCATATCCCCAACCTTGGCCAGTTACTTCATAGAGAGCAGGTTGAAAGGGCAGCCAATTGAGAATAGTGAACAGGATACTGAAACAAACTCCAAATTCATCCCTTGTCAACTGTGTCAATAACTTCCTTTTTTGTACATGAACTGAATTGAATTTGTTTTTTTTTTAAAAAAAAGGAATATGAGGTTGTTATTCTTCAATCGCATTGCTTATGGCAAAGAAGCAGATGCACTGGATTTCAGGGTATAGGGGCATTTAAATGTAATCCAAGCCCTTCATTTTACATATGAAGAAATGAAAAGTAAAGAAGAGAGAGAGAATATACTGAGCTCCTACTATGTACCAGGTAATGTGCTAAATGTTTTCAAGTCACATTGGTAACTGAATCTTTCCTTACGTGTTTTATAAAGGAATAATAAATATAAATAAGAGAAGCTTTATTATTCCAATTTAACAAATGAGGAAGCTAAAATTTAGTAAATCTAAGAATCTTTTCCTAAGCTACCACATTTTTAGCAAAGACAGAGACAATTCTTTTCTTTTAATCAGGATCTCCCTTTGTTGCCCAGGCTAGAGGACAGTAGTGCAATCACAGCTCATTGCAGCCTGGACCTCGTGGGCTCAAGCAATCCTCCCACCTCAGCCCCTCAAGCAGTTGGCACTACAGGCACATGCCACCACACCTGGCTAATTTTTTGTAGAAATGTCAGGGGTGGAAGTTGGGGGGGGGGGTTCCTCACGATGTTGCCCAGGCTGGTCTTGAACTTCTGACCTCAAGCAATCCTCCCACCCCGGCCTCCCAAAGTGCTGGAATTATAGGCATGAGCCACTGCACCCAGCCCAGAGACAAGGTTCGAAATCAAATTTTTTGAACTCCAAACCTACACTCTTTCTGCTCTCTGTTGTTTCAATTTGTAGATATGGTGTAAGCAAGAAAGGGGCTGGGGCGTACATAGCTTAGGCCATAGGAAGAGAGTTTAGTCAAGCTAGCTAGCACAAGTAAGAAATGTAGTCAGTATTTCCTAAGTCTCTTTTCCTCCAACTCAGTGCTTCTCAACTTTCCAAATCACTTGAGGAGTGTTTTAAAAATACCGAATGACTAGGCCCTGCCTTAGACTAATTCAATCAGGCTCCCTGAGATAAACCTGAGCATTTTTTTTTAAACTCTCACCAGGTGATAATAAGACACAGCCAGGGCTGAGATTCACTGTCATAACTGATGACTCTAGGAGCTCTCCTAGCAAGCTTCAAGCAACCAGTACTTAAAACTACAACTGAGTGTGATTATGTAATTGAGAGCTGCTCAAGTTTAATCCCACTAAAATTACATCATGATACTGAAGAATAATGAAAGGTGGTGACTGAGAGGTAGATGGGTAACTAATTCCTTCACCATGTGCATTTGATTCAGTTAGAAGTCCAATACTTCTAAGCCGGGAGTGGACCCTATGGACTCATTCTTCTGATCAATTTTTTAAAAGGTCATGCCGCCTGCGCCAATATTGGAATTAAGATCAAGTAACCCACCATGGAAAAATCTGAACACCTCCATTGTAGCTCATGATGTAAACGCTAAAGAGCTCCCACTGATCCAGGCAAAAGATGTGGCAACAATAATTTTAAATTAGTCACTATGTCAACTCCAAGAAAATACTGAAGATGATGAGTATTCTCTCATTGCATAAACAAGATAAGCAGAAACTAAAGTAACAATTATAGTGAATGCTTACTATGAGCCAGGCACTGTGCTAAATGCTTCATAACGTAAGAAGAGAATAGGGTAGGTCAAAGCTACAGTGGTGTTAGATGCTTGGTGCAATACGGAATCTACCTTTGAACTTGTTAAATACTTGAAGAAGGCCAATCCAAAAGACAGTCTTCTGTCTACTTAGATACTAATGGAGTCCAAAAGCTTACTGGTAGAAGGTAAGGTGAAAAGTTAGCAGTTAGGAAAATACTAGAGATCCAAAGACATTCAGGAGTCAGTTCTCCATGGTAGAAAAAGGAGCTATCACCTGAGTGTTAAGATGTCATTATCAGAAACCTATAACTCACTAGCCAACTTAAGAACCTTTAATACCATCACAATGACAAAGTAATCTAACTACACAAAGAAGAGGATAAAAGAAGTTATAAATTTGGAAGAAAAGAATCATACAATACAGCAGAGTGAGTTATATTGTTTCATTAAGAATGAAAGCCTGAAGCGAGATGTCTAGCAGAATTATTAATGGAACCTCAGAGATACCCTTTGCTCTATTACAAGTAGAAATGATCATGCTGTATTTTGCTAGCTTGTGCCCTCTTCTCAGCTCCATTTCCATGCAGAGACCCTGAGAAAGACCTTCCCTTCAGATTCCTGAACAAAATGTGGACACAGTATGTCATGGGGCCAAGACTTTGAGCACCTGTATTTCAAGACCAGGAACAAGGTTATTATATTTTATGTCTTTGGTGAAACATTCTCAGAAATAAACACCATATTGTTCTCTATCCCACTGTCTTTGGCCAAGGTACATGTAGACAAAGGAAATTGAAGTGCCTGGAAACACTTCAACCAGAGAGCAAAGATTTTTAACATTACTAATAAAAGCAATTCATTAACTTTCAAAAGTTTACATTTTTTAGATTCTCTGAGACCAGAGGAATTAGAAACTGAAGTGACCTCCACTGTTTGGGGCAGAAAGGGGTTCCAGGCTATGGGGAGTCTGAAGGAGACTGCAGACCGCAAAACCTTCTCTCTAACCTCTGTACCAATTAAGGTCCGCTGGGCTGAAATTATGCTATTAAACTTTATTTTACAAAGTGCAAATGCCACTGCGCTGGGTCCTGCATGTAAAGTAGTTTGAGATCCTACTTTGGTTGTATCATCCACAGCCGAACCCCTGAGTATCTAATTATGAACAGATTTCTGATGTGAGTTCACAACTATTGCCTTATCTCACCAGATCTCTCCAAAAAGATTCAATTATTTGGCCATAATTGCACCTGTCAGCACATGCTGCCTCCAATCTCTACATCAGCAAACTTTTCTCTTTTTAACTCCCATCACTTTGATACATTTTTGCCTGAATAATGCTTTTTAGAGTCCTTTTCACAAACGTGCTCTGTTCACTGGAAATACAAGACCTTTCAAAGCTGTTAACACTGTAAAACATCATGTCTCCTTTTTATTAAAAAAAAAAAAAAAAAGCAAGAGCTGATATCAGACACTAAACTTTTGCTGCTCTAAATTGGAATCTTCTCTGATAAGCCCTGCTAGGGGGATTCTAAAGCCTGCAGAAATAGGTCCACAAAGGAGCCTCGGTGAAATGTCTCTGGGAAATTCTTAACTCAGTCCAAGAAAGTAGCCATCATTTTGCTATGAAGAAATAAGGGTTCTGGTTGTTAAGTTCAAATTCAAAATGAGTCTGGCATTTTTCTCCTCTTATCAGTTTTCAAAGCTGACTCCTTGCACTACATGTTGAACAACTCCTTTTTATTTTTGGTGTAAATTAAAGCCTTTACGAGGCATTGAGTGAGCATCCAACATTTGCTTCCCATCCCAAATCTGCACATCTGTCTTTTAAAACGTATTTCTATAGGTTTTGTTTGCTCTAAATGACACAGAAGCCAACACTTTAGCTAAATCATGAAGAGAAGGAAAGGCAGATGAGTGGGAGAGGTGGAAAGTTTGCATTAATAAAAGGAAGCAGGAGG